AGTGAAGCCAATATAAATATATATGATTACCTACGTATCCTACGTATCTTGCAGCAATCGATTTTGAAATCGAAATATGTGCGCATTCCATTTAATCATTCATGTCAAATATCAAGATTTTTTTAATAATTTAAAGAGTCAATATTGAAGCCAATATACATATATATGATTTCGCATATTACCTACGTATCTTGCAGCAATCGATTTTGAAATCGAAATATGTGCGCATTCCATTTAATCATTCATGTCAAATATCAAGATTATTTTAATTTTTTTAATAATTTTGTTTTCCCCTGCGGTACTTCGTTAATTTGTAAAGCAATCAAATATTCGCGCGACCACGCTAAATATCATACTAATGAGCAAATATGTAATTCCGCCGGGAAATTTTCACGAAGCTAACGAAACATGAATCTTGCTTTTGCGAACAGCTACATTTCCCCTCCATTTAAGGGAAGATAAGAAAAATTATTTGGTTGAACATAATTTTATCTGGTTCAGTGTGCACACGAACGAACATATATTTATGGGTCATTGCATCTAAAATATCGATTTTACATTGACAATTTTTAGACAATTTCGAAGCAACGAAATAAATGCAATTGAGACAATGTGTTTTACATTTCGAGCATTAAATTTTGGATACTTGATTTCTATTTTTTTGCATTAATATTCTTTTTATATGTGTAAAATACTACATTATTTTTGCAATATCATATATATACGTAGCTTTAAAATCATCTAATAAAATTACACCATTGAAAATTCTCTACTAATTTATTATAACTTGAGAAATTACAAATATTTTGTGAAAATTAAAGCATATTTTTGTAAGAGAACTATGTTATTTTATTAATAATACGTAATACGTCTGATTATTAATAGACGTTTATCTTATAAGCTTTTGAAGTCTGATGTTTTATACGTAATGGCCAAATAATTTCATGTATTTAACGATATTCAATATGACTCATTCTGCGGAAGTGTTCAAAAAGGAGAGTGACACGTATCGCGAGCAGCATTTCCTACGACGTATTTAACTTTCCGGCACGTTGGCAGATCAAACACCTACGTAGTGAACGTCAAACAGTTTACAAATACCTTTTGGTGCCGCTACCAATAATAGTGATGCACTAATATGTGAAATTCAGACGGTTAAGAAGCGTGATGGCCCCGAGATTAATTGCATGTTCGATCACAAACGATACATCTTTGGCTTGGCTATTCAATACCATTTAATTATACAGGATGTTTCTCTCTATTTTATCTGGGAAAATTTTAATAGCAGATTCTTTAACGAACTTGGAGTGATTTATTTACGGAAATAAGAGAAGCTATTCTTTATTCTTCACAGCTCTTTCTAACTAATTTGCATTAAATATTTGTGATATTAAATCTCATCTTAAACCGAAGATCTACTACATTTTAATCAAGAGAAACACGATTTATTATTTCTATCTATTATCTCTGTTCCGACGTGAAAAGTTATAAATTTTTAACAATGATGTTGCACTTAATTTTGCTTGCGCAGTCATGTTAATTCTGGCTAGTCAGCGGATAGAAAATGTAATCGATAATTGGATGGGACACGACATCGTGGAAAGTGAACCAGCGCGGACGAAACGTGGTGCCGCACCAACGGTCGTGGAATGGTAAGCCTTCCTTCAATTTCATCCTCATTTTCATATTGCATATTATTAACGTTTTAAACTCGATAGTTCAAGTTTCTTAATTTTGGTTAAAAATATAATAGCGAGAGAAATCTTTTACGCGAAAAGTACAAGCAATTTTAATAGTAAGTTATGAAAAGCAAGAAACGTAAGAAATAAGAAGAATATAAAGTAAGAAAAGCCAGGTAAAATCCGTTTAATATCTACCGCTTATAACGCTCTCCGTTCGTGCGGAAGACGGTAATATGGAACGTAAAAGCGTTACATGCAGTAAGTCGGTGGTAAACGAGATGAAGCCCCGGAGACACGTGCAATCTCGAGGGGCCTTTTCCTCACGGTGAGATTGAAATGAGAGAATCAAGACCTGTCACATTGCAAATTTATGCTCACCTCATGTTAGGATTGATTTTGCATTTAATTTGGCTTGTTATTGATACGGTATCACTAACTGTACAAATAATTAATAAATAAAGGCGCAAATAATTATACAATAATAAAAGAGTAAAAAAACAGAAAAAATATTGAGAAATTATAGAGGTGTTAAGAGAAACTCCAAATAGATTCCGAGCAATTAATCGAGTTGAAAGACTCGGCGTTAAGTGAAATAAATTGTGCAGAGGTGCGTGTTTTTTTTTGTTTTTTTGTTCTCTCTTTCCTCTTCCCCTTCTTTGTCTTTTTCTCTTTGTCTCTCTTGGAGAGACTAAGATCGAAACGAAGTGACAAAATGCGATGCGCCGCAGGATTATATTGGCCTGGGTATCGGGGTTGATCTGGTCGGAGGTGAAGCAGTTGTGGGATGTGGGCCTGGAGGAGTACGTGAACGACATGTGGAATGTGATCGACTTCATAACAAACTCGCTATACGTAGCCACAGTCGCGCTCAGAGTCGTAGCTTACTATAGGGTGCAAAAGGAGAACGAGGGCAAGGGACCGGGACAACTGATCGAGCTCCAGCGTGAGGAGTGGGACACTTGGGATCCGATGCTCATCTCCGAGGGCCTCTTCTCCGCCGCCAACATCTTCAGGTAATAAATTGTTCAAGCGCTCGGAGATTTTGTATCTCTGTTGTTGCCGTAAAGTTTACAATAAAATGATCGCGCGACAAATTTAAAGTTAAAACAAACATTAAGTTAATATCTTTTTAGTTCTGTAAATCTCTTTAGTAAAAATATTTATAAAATCTTTAAATTTTTTTATTTCTTGCAATACAACTAATAAATAATATTGCGATATTTTCCAAATTTATTTTAGACGATCTATAATTCTCGATACAATTATGCAGAATTCTATTTTTACTTTTATATCGTGTAATACAAAAAATATTAGCAGAAATAAAATGCACATATATATTAGGATGCAGCATATAAAGATATAAGTGAATTTCTATCTTAAATTTTGTCAAAAATTATAACTCATGGAAAAATGGACTATTTAGAGAGAAGAGTTCTGATTTCACAATTTCGGAATTTATATAGCTAATGCATTGCATTTAAAGTGCGTTTTGAAAGCGAATAATCACTGCATCGTACCTAGAATGCGAATGAATTTTTAATTGCATTGGAGAGTCATGCAGCAATGTGTTGTACGATATAACGGAAAAATGGAGAAAGTTAATATAGGAAACTATTCATTATTTGAATTACAACAATAAACAATGTTACGTTGTAGTTCGCTAAAGCTCGTCTACATATTCTCCGTGAATCCTCACCTCGGTCCGCTGCAAGTGTCCCTGTCGAGAATGGTCGTGGACATCATGAAATTCTTTTTTCTCTATGTGCTGGTTCTCTTCGCTTTCTCGTGCGGTAAATAAAATAAAAGAATCATGATAAGATACACGCACATTTTACAGAAGAAATATTAATGTAACAACGCATCGCTTGTTAGGTCTCAATCAACTTCTTTGGTATTACGCCGATATGGAGAAGAAACGATGCCCCACGGCGATGGCGAATTCGCCCAATGCTAACGTTACTACCGATTCCAACGCGTGCATCGTTTGGCGTCGATTCGCAAAGTATTCAGCGACAATCTTTTTAAATAAATATTTGCGTGCCTTATGAAAAAATATATAGAGAATTTTTAAAAATTCAATTTCCATGCAAATTCTCAAAGTGTGAAAAAAAAAGAAAAGATGAAAATCTATATTTTAGTCCAGAAATTGGAAGTTAGAATTATGTAAAAATATTCTATATTTAAAGTATCCTATATTTTACAATTGAATTTTTTAAATTATTTTATTTCTATCATATTTTTTAATTTATTTTTAATGATATATGATAAAGATTTTCGCGGTAGTTTGTTTGAGACAATACAAACGCTCTTCTGGGCGGTTTTCGGGTTGGTGGATCTCGAGAGCTTCGAATTGGACGGCATCAAAGTGTTCACCAGATTCTGGGGTATGTTGATGTTTGGCACGTACTCAGTCATCAACATCGTCGTCCTCCTGAATCTCCTAATCGCCATGATGAATCATTCTTATCAGTTAATCTCGGTAAGTGTATCCCGTCTTTTCTACGAATCTCCTCGGCTTTATATTTATGACAAAGTCTCCTGGCATACAAGTTACAAGAACTTTGGAGAGAAACGGAGAAAATGAGAGAAACTGTAATGAATCGCTAACTTTTTAGTCGCGTTAAACACGAAAGCGACACTTACTCGCCTTCGTGAGAATTAACGAAAATGAACGCGATATTCTGAAAGTAGTAGAACGATAAAAATAACGGCTGCGAAATGTACCATATTTTTCGCGTTTATAATTAGCTGAAGCTAATTAGCGGGGTAATTCAGTGTACTCGTAATTAGGAACGCGCCGACATCGAGTGGAAATTCGCGAGGAGCAAACTCTGGATCAGCTATTTCGAGGAAGGTGGAACCGTCCCACCGCCGTTTAACATAATACCGACCCCGAAGAGCGCCTGGTACATCATACAATGGGTATATCGGAAGTGCTGTGGACACAGCAGGGCGGCCAAGAAGGAACATATGCGCACGATTAGGGTAAAGGATAGCTTGCAGAATTTTCGAATAGTTAGAATAGGAGCTGTGACGCTCCGTCGTCTTTGCGATAAAATTCTCTGGAGATTCGATCTTCTTACATGCGATTTTTGAATCTGAATCTCTTATCTCTCACGAAATGCAGAGCACGCTGTGAAATAAAATGTCAATAGACTATTGCGAGAGATTCAGTTCAGACAAAATATAGAAAGATGTTGAAAAATGCATCTTATCGTAAGAAATCTTCTGCGAATTTCTCTTCGGAGCTACGGCCTTATTTTTACATTTTAAAATTTGATCTTTAGATATGAGAAAAGTGGAATTTAGAGTAGAATTTTGAGTATCAGGAAAGAAATTTTCACATTTTTTAGAACTTGTAAGGAATATTAAATCCATGGCAAAGTTTTGTCATTATTAGTCACAACGCGTTCTGCATATTTATAGATCGGGCTTAATTATTATACAGAGTTTCCCAGATTCATCAACTTTTATCTATCGATTCTGTGGTTGAAAGGTTTGAAGGTTGTTTTTAATGAAAATAACGAAGATTCGTAACATCTTAAATTATGATTGAAGATAGAAGAATCTTCCTAACAATATTTAAAGTAATTTTTTTCGAAAACTTTGTTTTCGAGAAAATTTTATATAAAAGATTTTATTTTACATTTTTTGTTTAATTTTACACAGAGATTCATTTCCTTTTTGATTGCATTATGTACTCGATTCTGCATAATATTAATATATAATACCTTTTATAATAAAAATCGAAAATAACTTATGGGATGACGCTTGACATTTTCGTTGAAAGAAAATCGAATACGCATTACTCAAAGAGTTCAAATAATACAATAGCTTGACAAATCTGGGACACTATGTAGAGCGTATCGTAAAATGTGCACTTTGTAACGAAAACTTGTGACGCTGAAAGGTTTCGATTTCTGATTCTCTTGTCTCAGCGAAAAGTCAAGCAGGCCTCCGAGCGAGACTTTAGGTATCAGAGTATCATGAGAAATTTGGTAAGACGATATGTCACCGTCGAACAACGCAAGGCGGAAAACGAGGGCGTCACGGAGGACGACGTGAACGAAATCAAACAGGACATTAGTGCATTTCGCTTCGAGCTCATCGAGATACTCAAGAATTCTGGGATGAACACGTCCACTGCAGCGAGCAGCGGTACCGGTAGGTCATACAAATATTCTGCATGAAACGCACCGATTTATTTTTGCATAGTTTTCGCCGATGTAAAAGTGTACAATGCCGTATATCGGTCGTGAGTATCAATTTTGTTTAATAAACGAATTCGTTTAGAGAGTTGGAACATTTTTGTTGCGAGATTTAATTTTACAATTAAACAACATGTTTCGAATTCTAAAATAAAAGTCCATTTGACACGGTAACGAACGAATGTGTTATCGAATTAACAACAAGAATCACATATGAGCGATGGCGCGCAATTCCTGGTAATCCACAAATCGTTAATCGTGTCACGCGTAACGTTGAAACTTCAAATTTAATTCCGCAATTGTGCTCGCAAATGCCGATCATCATTTTACTCGTAGTAACGCTCGCATTAGTCATCCAAACGAGGGTTCCCCCTTGTAATTCGAAATTAAAGAAGGACCTATTAATCACTTAGAGTTTCAGAGCTAATTACCGTAATTAAGAATCCAACTGCTGTTCAGAAATCGCGCCGCTTTGAATCTCTGATTATTCGTAACGAGAAAATGTATGTGTCCCGCATAAATTTTAAACAAATATAAGTAATACCTACGTTATAATTACCTAATATTACCTAATTTTTATTTTTTGTTTTTAATTGTGATAATGTAAACGTAAAATTTTTATTTTAATATGATATATATACTGCGTTGAAAACTATTACTGCTTAAAAAGTCCAGCAGGTTTTAGAAGATGTAAATTTTCTATGTTTTTTCTTTGTTTTATTATATACACTATTTTATTTTATGTCTGAACATAACACATATATCGCACTCATCTCCATGCATTGTAATTTATATCCTTTATTTACATTACGTATTATTGAACATAGCTACGTAGATGTCTAAATTTCTTTAAGTTTTTTGTAGATTGCTTGGTTCGTCGATTTTCTGTTTGTCCCGTAGACGGTTGCCTTAAAGAGATGTCCATAGGTGCGGGTGGCAAGAAGAATCGTCAGAAGGAGCGGCGTTTGATGAAGGGTTTCAACATCGCGCCGCAGCCAGGCGGAAGCGGCACTCTACCGCCCGTGGCCGAGTTCATCGCATCTCTTCAACAAGTACAGCACGAGAACTCTCACCAAGACCTATTTGGCTCGACTCTAAGCGGCATATTCGGACCGGGCGTAAAGAAGAGCCCACATCATACCAGCACTAATAGCGTGCCCGGGCTAGCCACCGGGCCGCAACAAATTCGCGGCACCAGAAGTAACTCTCGGAAGAAGCGCTGGGGCACTCTAATCGAGGCTGCGAAAGTCGGAAGAGTCTCTAGACTGATCGGTAAGTCGATTAATTCTTGCATTAATATTTTTATTAATAATAATTAAGTAGTACAGATTTAATACGATTTAATACCCTCATACGACGCGACTTTCTTATTTATTTTTTGAACGAGTACGTAACTGTAAAGTTAAGATTTAATCTTTATTAGAATACGAAATATAATCTAAATTTTTTTATATTTTATCAATTAAAATTTTTTTTGCAAAAAAATATTTAAAAAAATAAATAAAGATCATTTATTATCATTAAAACATCTTATTGGAGACTATCCGTTCTCTTTTCTCGTCTTCTATTTAGTAATTTAATATTTTAATTAAGTATTTTAGTTAAGTTTGTTAATGTTATTAAGAATCTTAATTCAACATTTTGTTCTATAAATTTCACTTTTTGACGATATTATTAGAAACGCTTATTATTTTATCTCTTTGTGCTCTCTAGAGTAAAATAGAATGATAATAATAGAGTGAATTTATAATTAGACGAAAGTTGTTTTTTCTTCTCTTCCCAGGTAGATCTCGTTCGGAGGACTCGGTATATTCGCCGGCGTCCGAGGACGGTGGGTCGCGGTCCGAGGGCTCGTCGGATTCAAAATCCTCTTTGGAAGTGGCAAGTCATGACGTACAAAGTACGCAGCATCCTCATCACTCTCACTCTCATCATGCGCATCATCACGAGGCGCATCACATGTTCAGCCACGGCCTGGGCCCGGCTTTGGCCGCCCTGAGGAGGAAGCGCAAAAAGTTCTCGACTTCGAGATCATCCACACCCGCGATGACCAGCAGCACCAACACGAACCCCCCGGATTCGAGCGCGATGCGCTCGGTCGCAACCGTCCTGGCGTCCAGAGTTTGCTCCAAGAAGCAGCTGCAACGCGCCAGCAGCGTACCAACTCGAGGCCCCGAAATAACGCCGCAATCATCGATAACATCTCGACGACACGAAGTCACGCAGAGTCAGCAGCCCAGTTTCGACGTCATCGAGATCCCCAGCATCAGCGAACAGCAAAGTGAGTTAATATTATTACGCATATTAATTTGATTAAATTTAACTTTGTTATGAAAATTTTTTTAATATTTATGAAAGTTAAAGCGTCTTTTTCGTGCGTTGAAATTTTTAATTTTTGTAGAGAGAGATACAAAAAAAGAAATTCTTGCGACGTGATTGTCATTATTTTGCAGGTGTTGTCAGCGCAGTACCATTGACACCATCGACCACCGAAGAGAGCGTGGCGGCGAACGTCTCGACGTCGAAGTTCACGGCGAGGCGAAACGGATCGGCGACGCAGCTGCGTCTTCCCGGCATCGAGCCGATTTCCGGCCACGACGTATCCACCGGCTGGCTCTGAGGAAACCGACGTGTCGCCGGGCTGCGGCGGCCGATCAGCTGACACAGGAAACATCAGTCGAAACTCAGCTTCGGGCTTCGTTTTCAACGGCCATGAGGCTAGAACGACGCCGACGACGATCGTACGATACACGCACGCATGCGACACGATCCTCTCGACGTCGGCAGACGCACAATGATGCCTTTCTCGCGACATGACACGCCAATGCCGATTAAACGTAAGAGCGACATCGGAAATCTCGAAGAAAAACCCATTCTCTCGTCGACCCAGTCTCCTTCCTTCATCTGAATGAAGCATCCTTTTAGTATGAGCTTTCTTCTAATCATATGATGTCCGATAGTGAGGTAATGAATTGAAAAAATTATTATTCTATTTATTAAATAATTTATTTGCATTATACATACATACATATATATATATGTATATATGTATATATTTTATATATATTTTACTTACGTGAAGGAGTTTCAATGATTATTCGGGTAAGTTTTTCATTTCTGTTTCTATTTCTATTTTGTTTTTTTACTTTAAACATATTAAATGTAGAAGTTGCACATAAAAACGTATTTAGCGTTATTTGTACAATATTTATTGTTTAATTATTTTTAAATTAGTGAGGACCATGAAATATCATATATCACACGATTGATCGCATATTACGCGATTTCTTGTTTTACGCGATCGCGGGATTTCGCGTGATTACTTTAAGCGACGATTGATGGTAAATTATACTGAGGATTATTACTATTACTATTACTGCCAGAACGCGGAAATGGCATACGTGGATCGGCAACAAATAGTCTAGTCAACACTAGTCAGTCAGAAGATCTCGTAACAGAAAGGTGAAAAAAAAACAACTATTACATTATTAAGTTAACTTCGAGAGACGACGAATTACGTTATGTCAAACAGAAATAGCGAATAAAGTTAAATCGTATCTTCAGAGAGCTGGTCTACTGAAGAACGAAACTCGTAGCCTCCTAGCTCCATTCGAGCGATTGTTTCTCGGGCAATTTATTTCTTCTGTATATATACCTCACAGACTCACTCTAGTTACGAACTAATCGATACAATCATTGCCAACGGAGAATTTTTATTATTTTTTATTCTACAATAGTGTGTTTAGCAAACGGTTACACACAAACGATGTGTGCGTGCGTGTGTGTGTGTGTATATATGTCAAGAGAATTGATTATGTAATCATTCTTCTGCAAGATGCGCAATAAATTGCGTGAGAAAGAGAGAAAATTGGATCCTTAAAGTTACATGTGTCTGCAAAGTTTCAGTCAAAAGCAGTCGTAATTCCAAATTTGCCAACAAATTGATCTGTAATGATCCAGTGCGTACTCTCCGTTTACATTAAGATTTACAAATAGCTACAAAATCTTTCGTTAATCGTCGAAATCGGCGAAATCGATTCGCCTGAATTTTTCGCGAGACATAAAAGAGCAGGAACAAACCGCACGACCAAAGAACACACGGTAGTACGTAGTCGAGTAGTGGCCTAAAAGAAAACGGGAGTCCTAGATATTACATGTACGTTATATATACGTTATTAATAATTATTATTACTATTGTTAATGTGTTAAACGAATCGCGCAATCAGTACCACAGGTAAGTCCTCGAGAAGCGAGTCGCCTTAAGCGCACTGTCCAATCGCTCGCTTCGTCCCCCTATCCATCATCGATCTTCCCGTGGTCTCGATAGCGCCAAAAAGAGATATAGTCATTATTAAAAAGTGCTATATATCTACCAAGAACGAATCTCTAATTGTCTATTATATTTATTTTAGAGCAACATTATTTTAAATAAAGTATTTAAAATAAAATAGCATTAATAGAATTTGAATAAATTAAATGTGGCAAAGAAATAAAAATTTATAAAAATATAAAAGAAAGAATTAGAGTTATAAAGAATTTAAAATTGTGTAACATTGCATGGTATAAAAAATAATAAAAGGATATACATTACTTGATAACGAATATACTATTATACAAACTTTAAAAGACGATAAGATAAAGTGACAATTTGGCGCTCTTGGTAGATGTATAATGATTTAGTCATCCTACCACTTACGTGTATTATTTATATATGAGATTATTAATGTAATTGTATGAAGCTAGATCTCCAGTTGATGGTAAGTAGAGAGTGTTTGTTGTGGAAGTAAAGGAGAGATATCTTTAAATAACACATAAGCGGAACCAATTGATTTTAATAAGTACGAGATAAAACTCAGAATTATTTGAATAATGAGAATCCTGCGAATCCGATCGAATTTTTTCACGATTACACATATAATAATGAGATTCTTCTATCCGCAAATATATACAGTCACATGTGATTTCGCATGCGAAATCGCGGAAAAATAATGGAAAACCGTAGTAGCGGCAAAAGCTTTCGAAACTCTTGAGAAACTCCGAAATCTTGGATGTTTTCCAAGCGCTCATCGCAATTCAAAGTCCATAGTGAATTATGGGCGCATGAATCATGATGTCGAAGCGTAAAGATAATAAGCACAATGTCTTAGGCATTGCGCTTGTTATTAATCGCTCGAATGAACGCATGTTGGTCGAGGTGAGTTTTGCAATGTAATTGCAAAAAAGATTGAATAACGCGAAAAGCGAGAATCAATCGGATATATTTAACTCAGGATTTAATTTTAATTGCTTTTTCTAAATGTATACATATTTATGATATAATATTAATAAGTTTTTTGTCAAATACAAAAAAAAAGGTTTTTTTTAACTTTCTTCTATTTAGTGGCAATGCCATAAATATTTAATACTACGGTTAACCGTTTGACTTGTGATATTAATTTGCTGCGATGTAAACGATGGAGTTTGATTAAATAGATGCACGAGAGATCATTATCCGACAAAGCGATTATACCGCGTTATAGGATCGATTGAAATTCGATAGGAATTAGCAGAAAACAATACCGACACGAAATGACCATTAATAAAATATCATTTATTCTGATAATTCGTTTATTTTGCACCTAACTTTGTAGCAAATATAAAATGCAGCATAATGCTTAATAACGCGATTAATTTAAAAAATAGGCAGTACACCGGCAGTAAAGGAAACCGTAACGCAATAATATAACATCGATATTCTATAAAAATATTGATTAATATTAATCGTGGAATGTTCAATGTGGATCAATAGATCATATAATATTATTATAAACGATATTTCAATATCGATAAACGCGATAATCGAAGAGATTCAATGATTTTAATAATTCAATCTTTTTACAAATTATATTTCTTTACTTTGTAGTTGTAAAAAAAATGTCATAAAAATGAAAAACAGGGCACAAAAAATCCATTTATGCTCTCGTATTATATAATGGCTTAGCTCATACGTTTTAAGATTAACAATTTTTTTACAGAGATTTATCTATCTATGGATAGAATTAAAATTATCTCTTCGATATACATCTTTTTCTCTATATAAATCTTTAAAATATATTTGTTATATACTAAATTAAATGCCATCGAATATATAAAGTTCCTTCTCAACTTATATTTCTTCACAAGGTGCGAGCTCGCAGCGATAACGACGATGCAATTTTTTCGGGCAAGGACGGCCACCATTTGCAGCTTCTCGCTAATTACAAAGAGGATATTATCAGAATAGGAGAAAAGTACAATATCATGTTACTAAAATGTTATAATAATATTAATATTAATAATATTATTTTATATTAATATTATGTTCGCAGCAGTTATGTAATTTCAGTGAATTTGCAATTAACACGCCCGTAATTACCCAAGATTCATTAGTCTCACCTCGATGACACGGTAACTCGTTGCGCGACCGACGCCGCAAGTGACACTACACGGTGACCAATTTGACCAACGTGTCACCACACAATCCACAGGGGGAATGGGAGGTGGATTAAGCGATTCGCTAGGAACTTGATCTCGGTTTACGGTTTCATTAAAAGACTGACCGGTAAGAGCAGCTCGTACCTATAAAGCGATAAAAATTTTAATAACATCTCAGTATTGCGCTTATATTCGAGAGATATTTTCGCGCTTACGATGCCACACGTGTTGCTGCACTCATCCGCAGTTAGGAAATTATTTCGGTTGCCGCGACATCCACCGTACGCAAAGGGCACGCACATCAATTTCTGCGGGTTGAAGGCCCATCTCTGGAAGTAGCCCCTGCAAGGGCCGGGATCTGCCTCCTCCATGCACACGACTGTATAAAAAGATATGTGACATATATTTCAAAATTTAATAATTGTTTGGAGAAACGTCTTTCTCTCTCATATACAAAATTAATATGTCATTTTAATATTATCAAAAAAAATTCTCTTTGTTCTCACTCTTTTTCTTTCCCTCTCTTAATATAACATATTAAAATTGTTTATATTTTTAACATATTTTACCTTTTGCCGTTGCCATATCAAATGTACAGTCCGCTTGGACGAGGCACGGCCGTTGCTGAACCAATTCCACGCGCGAGGAGCATTCCGTCTGCAGAGACGGATCAACCATCAGCAATCTGGTCCTCAATTTCACACCCTTGCCGCAGGAAGCGCTACAAGGTGACCAGTCGGACCAGTCCGTCACCTTAAATCATCCATCATTAACCGTTATCGTTAAATTATACAGCAAAAATTTGTCTCATATAACATGCAAACGAGTTGAACCGCGTACTCTGCAGATAGGATCGATCTGCTCTTCCGTTCCCGTCGAGCAAGGTGGCTCCATACACTTGTCCTTCTCGACGAGCGACACGAGCGGACACCGTTTACGGCCACGTCGATCGCGGAATCTCCTCGTGCGCATTTTCACCCCTATTCCGCACGTGTTCGAACATTCGGACCACTCGCTCCACTCGGTGGTCTCGCAAAGTGGGTCGCTGCTGCTTCGCGACGAAACTACATCGTCGTCGCTTTCCTCCTCGCCCCTAAAAAATAACTCGAATATAATACTTTTCTGATCGCATACATTTACGTAAGAATGAAATTTATTCGGCAAATGCACGATCGACATCTGTAAAATGGTCGCGCGGCTTAATTTTTACGAAGCGTATTATCGATGTTTTTTAAATTTTTACAAAGATAAGGTGATAATACAAATTTTCGCTTGAATTGCGAATGTACTCACGAGCACTCTGCGATAGATGCGACGCACATCTCCTTCGAGACCAGTTGCCTATTACAATTGAACATGGTGGCTTTCTCCGGCATTCTATACGATCTCGTGCGCATCCTTAGACCCTTACCGCAGGTCACTGAACACGAGGACCATGGCGAGTAATCCGTCGTTTGGCACTCGGCTTAAAAATCAGAACAGAATAAAACTAAATCGTACTTTTTCTTTAAAAATCATACTTTAAGAGTAAATTCAATATCTTTTTTTAATGATTGAGACGATAAAAAAAGATATATATCGTGGCCTAAAAGAAAACGGGAGTCCTAGATATTACATGTACGTTATATATACGTTATTAATAATTATTATTACTATTGTTAATGTGTTAAACGAATCGCGCAATCAGTACCACAGGTAAGTCCTCGAGAAGCGAGTCGCCTTAAGCGCACTGTCCAATCGCTCGCTTCGTCCCCCTATCCATCATCGATCTTCCCGTGGTCTCGATAGCGCCAAAAAGAGATATAGTCATTATTAAAAAGTGCTATATATCTACCAAGAACGAATCTCTAATTGTCTATTATATTTATTTTAGAGCAACATTATTTTAAATAAAGTATTTAAAATAAAATAGCATTAATAGAATTTGAATAAATTAAATGTGGCAAAGAAATAAAAATTTATAAAAATATAAAAGAAAGAATTAGAGTTATAAAGAATTTAAAATTGTGTAACATTGCATGGTATAAAAAATAATAAAAGGATATACATTACTTGATAACGAATATACTATTATACAAACTTTAAAAGACGATAAGATAAAGTGACAATTTGGCGCTCTTGGTAGATGTATAATGATTTAGTCATCCTACCACTTACGTGTATTATTTATATATGAGATTATTAATGTAATTGTATGAAGCTAGATCTCCAGTTGATGGTAAGTAGAGAGTGTTTGTTGTGGAAGTAAAGGAGAGATATCTTTAAATAACACATAAGCGGAACCAATTGATTTTAATAAGTACGAGATAAAACTCAGAATTATTTGAATAATGAGAATCCTGCGAATCCGATCGAATTTTTTCACGATTACACATATAATAATGAGATTCTTCTATCCGCAAATATATACAGTCACATGTGATTTCGCATGCGAAATCGCGGAAAAATAATGGAAAACCGTAGTAGCGGCAAAAGCTTTCGAAACTCTTGAGAAACTCCGAAATCTTGGATGTTTTCCAAGCGCTCATCGCAATTCAAAGTCCATAGTGAATTATGGGCGCATGAATCATGATGTCGAAGCGTAAAGATAATAAGCACAATGTCTTAGGCATTGCGCTTGTTATTAATCGCTCGAATGAACGCATGTTGGTCGAGGTGAGTTTCGCAATGTAATTGCAAAAAAGATTGAATAACGCGAAAAGCGAGAATCAATCGGATATATTTAACTCAGGATTTAATTTTAATTGCTTTTTCTAAATGTATACATATTTATGATATAATATTAATAAGTTTTTTGTCAAATACAAAAAAAAAGGTTTTTTTTAACTTTCTTCTATTTAGTGGCAATGCCATAAATATTTAATACTACGGTTAACCGTTTGACTTGTGATATTAATTTGCTGCGATATAAACGATGGAGTTTGATTAAATAGATGCACGAGAGATCATTATCCGACAAAGCGATTATACCGCGTTATAGGATCGATTGAAATTCGATAGGAATTAGCAGAAAACAATACCGACACGAAATGACCATTAATAAAATATCATTTATTCTGATAATTCGTTTATTTTGCACCTAACTTTGTAGCAAATATAAAATGCAGCATAATGCTTAATAACGCGATTAATTTAAAAAATAGGCAGTACACCGGCAGTAAAGGAAACCGTAACGCAATAATATAACATCGATATTCTATAAAAATATTGATTAATATTAATCGTGGAATGTTCAATGTGGATCAATAGATCATATAATATTATTATAAACGATATTTCAATATCGATAAACGCGATAATCGAAGAGATTCAATGATTTTAATAATTCAATCTTTTTACAAATTATATTTCTTTACTTTGTAGTTGTAAAAAAAATGTCATAAAAATGAAAAACAGGGCACAAAAAATCCATTTATGCTCTCGTATTATATAATGGCTTAGCTCATACGTTTTAAGATTAACAATTTTTTTACAGAGATTTATCTATCTATGGATAGAATTAAAATTATCTCTTCGATATACATCTTTTTCTCTATATAAATCTTTAAAATATATTTGTTATATACTAAATTAAATGCCATCGAATATATAAAGTTCCTTCTCAACTTATATTTCTTCACAAGGTGCGAGCTCGCAGCGATAACGACGATGCAATTTTTTCGGGCAAGGACGGCCACCATTTGCAGCTTCTCGCTAATTACAAAGAGGATATTATCAGAATAGGAGAAAAGTACAATATCATGTTACTAAAATGTTATAATAATATTAATATTAATAATATTATTTTATATTAATATTATGTTCGCAGCAGTTATGTAATTTCAGTGAATTTGCAATTAACACGCCCGTAATTACCCAAGATTCATTAGTCTCACCTCGATGACACGGTAACTCGTTGCGCGACCGACGCCGCAAGTGACACTACACGGTGACCAATTTGACCAACGTGTCACCACACAATCCACAGGGGGAATGGGAGGTGGATTAAGCGATTCGCTAGGAACTTGATCTCGGTTTACGGTTTCATTAAAAGACTGACCGGTAAGAGCAGCTCGTACCTATAAAGCGATAAAAATTTTAATAACATCTCAGTATTGCGCTTATATTCGAGAGATATTTTCGCGCTTACGATGCCACACGTGTTGCTGCACTCATCCGCAGTTAGGAAATTATTTCGGTTGCCGCGACATCCACCGTACGCAAAGGGCACGCACATCAATTTCTGCGGGTTGAAGGCCCATCTCTGGAAGTAGCCCCTGCAAGGGCCGGGATCTGCCTCCTCCATGCACACGACTGTATAAAAAGATATGTGACATATATTTCAAAATTTAATAATTGTTTGGAGAAACGTCTTTCTCTCTCATATACAAAATTAATATGTCATTTTAATATTATCAAAAAAAATTCTCTTTGTTCTCACTCTTTTTCTTTCCCTCTCTTAATATAACATATTAAAATTGTTTATATTTTTAACATATTTTACCTTTTGCCGTTGCCATATCAAATGTACAGTCCGCTTGGACGAGGCACGGCCGTTGCTGAACCAATTCCACGCGCGAGGAGCATTCCGTCTGCAGAGACGGATCAACCATCAGCAATCTGGTCCTCAATTTCACACCCTTGCCGCAGGAAGCGCTACAAGGTGACCAGTCGGACCAGTCCGTCACCTTAAATCATCCATCATTAACCGTTATCGTTAAATTATACAGCAAAAATTTGTCTCATATAACATGCAAACGAGTTGAACCGCGTACTCTGCAGATAGGATCGATCTGCTCTTCCGTTCCCGTCGAGCAAGGTGGCTCCATACACTTGTCCTTCTCGACGAGCGACACGAGCGGACACCGTTTACGGCCACGTCGATCGCGGAATCTCCTCGTGCGCATTTTCACCCCTATTCCGCACGTGTTCGAACATTCGGACCACTCGCTCCACTCGGTGGTCTCGCAAAGTGGGTCGCTGCTGCTTCGCGACGAAACTACATCGTCGTCGCTTTCCTCCTCGCCCCTAAAAAATAACTCGAATATAATACTTTTCTGATCGCATACATTTACGTAAGAATGAAATTTATTCGGCAAATGCACGATCGACATCTGTAAAATGGTCGCGCGGCTTAATTTTTACGAAGCGTATTATCGATGTTTTTTAAATTTTTACAAAGATAAGGTGATAATACAAATTTTCGCTTGAATTGCGAATGTACTCACGAGCACTCTGCGATAGATGCGACGCACATCTCCTTCGAGACCAGTTGCCTATTACAATTGAACATGGTGGCTTTCTCCGGCATTCTATACGATCTCGTGCGCATCCTTAGACCCTTACCGCAGGTCACTGAACACGAGGACCATGGCGAGTAATCCGTCGTTTGGCACTCGGCTTAAAAATCAGAACAGAATAAAACTAAATCGTACTTTTTCTTTAAAAATCATACTTTAAGAGTAAATTCAATATCTTTTTTTAATGATTGAGACGATAAAAAAAGATATATATCACATACAATAATTTTCTAAGAAGAAAAAATAACTATATAAATCTCGGAGCGCTTTTAAAAAAAAAAATTGATTATTAAAGACATTTATATACGTCACGACATGCTTACGTCTTGATGTGTCCTCGGTGTTCTCGGCCACTTCTAATTCAGCCACTTGCTGCTGCAGAAGTTCCTCGCTGCATCCGCGCGGGATGATCTTTTCTCGATTTAAGTACAGTCGGGCCAACGGATGCATCGGTCTACCAGACGGATCGTAGAACGGAGATCGCGGGTCTTCCGGATAGGAGGTCGTTATGGGCTTCATCTTCTCGCGCGGTTTTGTCTCGGAATTCGGCGACATGTAACTAATGCCGTTATCAGTACCGGCGTCCCAAGGGTAAAGATCGATTATCATGCTTTTCGCCCATGTGCAATCCTTCTGACAAAGATTCAGTTTGCTCACTCCTACCACCCAGTCAGGAGACGGACCTAGCATAGAGGCCACTGAGAGAAGATAATGTCTTCGATCCACTCTGAAAAGTCGTCGAAAAATCAAATAAAGTTTAACGAAAGAATCTATTAACGATTATTATTGATAATAAGATGGAACAGGATATGATGCATTAAAATATTTGGAAATTTTTTAAATTTGCTTTTCACAGTAAAAATATTCAAAAATTATCCAAGAATGTCTTAATTCAATTATCTGAGTATTACAAAAAGAGATCAGGAAGTCTTACATACATTATCACGATTATTAATATCAAGAGAATTTCAAGATTTCGAAATATATATTTTACAAGACAATGTAGTTACCTAAAACTTGTCGTCGTATTGGAATTGACATTAGGATACCAGAGACCGGCAGCCTTAATAAGTGTCCTGAGATGTCTAGAATTTTCTCGTAATTCTGCTTCGACGCCTGTCGCGGAGCCCCACTCGGCCAGTTGTCGAAAACCGTCTGTCGCGATGTGATCTCTGCCCCAGAAGGAGAAATTTGGCTCGTGAGATGCGCCGATTACGTCGCTGAAATGGGTCAACCAGGCGGAAAAAGGGAAGTCTTTCGGATGCGTTGTGTTCGACCAAATGCCCTCCATAGTTAACTAAAAAATTGTGATTCGACAAGATACTTCAAATGATTGCGGCAACGCATTTTTACTCGCTTGTTATCGTAACTTTTGCGAACCGTACAAATTAAAGATTAAAGAATAGTATTATTTACAAATTTAAAAAAAATATTAATTATTAATATTGGTATTCTCAATTTTTTTCAAAGGATTAAATTGTTGAAAAACTTTTTTAATTCTGTGAAATTCAGTGAGTTAAAAATATTTATTCCAGTAAATTATTATTGAAAAATTAATACAGTACATACTTTTCGTCGAACTTTTCAAAAGACTATCTCACCGAATATTTGGCTTCATCGCAGGCACAGCATCTAGTCTCGTTTGAGTTTTCACCTTTTGTGCCTGTCGACTCGCAAACGACCTTGGAAAGAGTACCATCTTCAGCATACCATCGTATGTTGTTCTCCAAAATCATCGCGGTAAATATAACGCATCCGGAACCGGTTGGTGGTGCTCGCCACATCACCTGAATCTGTTTAAAAAAAAAAAGTTTATCGCCGATTTTCATAATATAAGTACAAATTATTAATTAGACGGAAAATGAAGCAAATTCATTTTTTTTGTAAAGAGAAGCCTCGTACCTCTGATTTCGGGAAATCGGTCGTTTCGGAGATCGTGTTAACGCAATCCTCGTCAAAGGTGGTCAAGGAATCCGGAAACAGTTGGAAATACCCGACATGTGCCGAAGAAGTCGGCAAGTATGAAGAGTGCACCGTGAGAGTGAAGCGTGTAAATTGTTGCAATCTCTCGTGCGTTCGCGATCCTGAAATTTTGTATTTTCGTAACAGCAGCATTTCAGGATCAAAGCACAATATAAAGATCTTCACGATACTATGTATCTTTTTATTTTCAATTTATTAGATTTTAAAAAAATCAAACCTTTCAGGCTAATTATATGGATTGCATCGGGAATGTATTCATTTGTCTCCCCGCTGATAAGAATCCTATAACCACCGTCGCCTTGTGTTCTATTTGCGGAAGTTTGTCCCACTGTCGGTCGCATGGGACATCCGGCGTGAGTCACGGCGATGAGACACGCCGTAAATAGTAAGAATAACATTTTGAGAAATCTAAAACAAACATATATTAATATATCATAACATCCATATTTGTATTCTCAATCTTTAACATATTATGAAAGCTCTGGTCTATTATAATCATTATTATTAGACAGTTATATGACGCCAGTTAAAATATTCACGCGTGAAATTTTTAATACGAGAATCACATTCCGGCGAATTGTCCTTGAGTTCACGCCTCGCTTGCTCAGTCGAGAAAATTGCTGTAATTGACGACGCCGCGAAACCGAGCAAATCCCAGCTGATCTGTTAAGTGTCATCATTGTTGGAATTCGTTTGCAAAAAACGCACGCGCACGCCGTCAAATCTGAACGCAAATTTCTCCGATCTCTTTCGATCGTTATTGTTAGATTCGATAGATCGCCGCAAGAATACCTTGTGCTACATAGGGTCACAAAGTGGCGATGAATAATCGCGAGCGGATTGCAAATCGTGAATCGCGATTTCGTAATTACGAGCGGAGAACGGAGATTGTAACACGAATGAATCGCGCGATCCGACAATATCCTCGGATTATTAGTAGACGGCAAGTTAAGAGAAATCGGAAAAGATTTAAATTTTTCTCGAATAAAAATATAATTCAAATTTTTTATACTTGAAAATAGAATTGACATTCTCATATTTGATAAGAACTGTGACGATTTTATTTGAAGTTCAGTTCTGTTATTCTTTTTTCATAATTGACGCGATTAAATTCTTTACGATATTTTTGAAATTAAGACAGTGCGAATTTAACGACATAATATAATAGCTATTGCATAGGCTATTCGTCGCTAACAATACCCGATTTTCGCAACGACAATGAAAAAGAATTTTTTTTTGGTGCCTCGCAGAAAAGAGATCGTGAGAATGTTAATTATTGTTCACCGCGAGATTTTCCCATAAGTCTCAATTTCCGCGAAACAAAAGAGAGGATAATCATAATTACGTTTCGATATTTTTTTACAATCGAGCAACGTTCTGCGAACTTTTCTTGTTTCTTTTTCGCTCACCTAACGATAGCATGACGTGATTGCCTTTGCGCATAAGCCCGTGAAATGTTATGATAATCAATGCGATCGCGTGCGAGAAATTAAACTGCATTTGAGATTATGATTCGTGTTAAAATGTACAACCGTTTACAACCTGTTATTACTATAATTAATAAACGTCTTCGCAGATGTTAGACATAACTTTCACAGCAGAAACATTATCAAGAAAGCTTCACTAGAAAAAAATACGGCTGCCACAAGAATTATATACTATCTCTATAAATTGTTAAAAGATACATGAGATAAATATGAAAAAAAAATTTATAAAAGAGAATATAATAAATATAGAAGATAATTCTATAGAAAAGTTATAAAATGCACAATTGATGAAGATAAAAATTAATAAAAAAAAGTTTAATTAACAGTGAATCAAAGAAACATTCGCGAATGATAAACGTGTTAAAATCAAAAAAAGATTTCACAAATTTGCAAATTTCTCTTGTCCCAAACAATTTCGAGATCCTAAGGCACGTGCGGAGACGAAACGCATGTCCGCGTCCGGGACGTCATTATTTGCATCCGATGCGGTCGAATAGCTGGGAACTGGGTCGAGACTGCTGTCAATCCGCTCCAACCGGCTTTCGAGATCGACGTTCACGGTGGCACGTAGGTAGGTGTAGGTTTCTAGAACGCTAGTCAGCGAGGCAGAAGCAAGACGAGAGGACAGAGACGGAAATTGCAGAATGCGAAAGACGCATCTCGTGCTCTAGCACGTGGTGCGAATTTATCACGTTCCGATAACGGAAGCAGTTCACCCTATCGTGAAATGCAACGTACAGGGTGTGCAAAAAGTATAAAATACGTGTTTCTCTGAAAATGTTGATGATAATAAACGACGCAACATCATACATGACGTAAAAAGGTACGTCAAAGAGATCGCGAATGTAAAAGACTTCTCGCATGTATCGAGCGCTTAACGTATAATTTCCATGATAAAATCAATTGTTACTGCATACGATCTTCGTTTTTTCCAGCAATACTAAAATAAACAAGAAAATCGTTTGTTGATGACAAATGTGTTTTCCCGAGAGAGAGAGAGAGAGAGGAAAATTTAATTTATTCACAATCGATATCTGTCGCGCGCGGTTTTATTCTTCTTGTTTTGTTTTTTTTACGTGCACTTCGTAATCAACGTGATAATCACCTCTCACCGGTTTCACTCTGGGAACGTTCGTATGTCGAATTAATTAATCGTGAATTTCGCGTCGATCGGCACGAGAACTATTGAGCCGAATCGGCGGCGTTGCTTCGCGTGTACACACGCGTGAAAACTGATGCATACATGACGCACAGTCAAACTCGTACCTCGTACCCTCAATCGTACATCCCTACCCACAACTGCGCGCGTGGGTGAGTTTACGCGTGTCACGATGCGCTCCGCAATTAGCAGAATAATTAAATGTTAACAGCTCGATTATTACACGCGATATACCGCGATATACTCGAGTGCATTTCATTTAGCAAACTAAAAAAGTGTCAAACCATCTATGAAAAATATGTCTATTAAATAACATATATATATATATATTTTGTTTTCTATATAATATATTTGATATTATGTGTGCATTTCTAGCATATGATAAGATTTTTCAAATTACTATATTTTCTCATAGATAATGACATGCAAAGCGTATTCATTTTATTTTGCCGTATTTCTTGTTTAGCTGTGTTTGTTATAAATGCGTGTGGTAAATTATTCATACTTTTATTTCTAGCAATATTGCTAGCATACATTGAAGTTTTCTATCATAAATGTGTGTATATTAATTTCTATTTTTATTTTCTAGTATCGTTAACAGATGAGATCTTTTCGATTATTATACGCAGATAACGATTTCTGCAATCTGCTATCTTCATTCGATCATATCTCATCTCTTTAAGAAATTATATTTACCATAAATCTGCATATTCAATAAAAAAAAATTTATTTCTGTTTCTTACAATATTAGCACGATGAGATTTTATAATACATCAACTTTTCAATAAATTATATCTATTATATACAAATATATGTAATTATAATTAATTTGTATCTTTAATTTTCGCTTTATTTTTAAAACATTTAAAGAAATTTTACAATATATTTTATCTTTTGCAGATTATTTATTATAAATATATTTAATTCTTTCTTTGTCTCTTTCTCTTTCTCTTGTTTTACCGTTGTAGCTTTGTTATGATAACTGACGTGGTTTTATTTACATGAGTCACAGCGCTCGACTTAATTATATCTTGCTATTAGGAATAATTATGTGGGCACACGAGCTATTGTTTTACGACATCTGTATTCGTTGTCCGTATGACCATCTTGGCTATCTTTCAAATCTAACAAGCCATAATACAAACAAACATAATAATTTAATCTCGCATAGCTTTCCCATGATTCATTAATATAGTTTTGTTAAAATTATTTTCACGCGTGACTGGATCGGATTGATTTAATTGATTTATTATGTTTGAATACGTGCACTTTTGCGTGACGATCATACATTCACCGAAACAGTTAATTCATAAACCTATTAAATTAATGATTTATCTACAAAGTTTAAAAGTTTTAACACTTGCGAAGCGTCCGGGAACTATTTTCAACACGATATCGCCCACGGAAATTGGATTCGTTAATTAACTATAAATCCGGCGCGCTGACGTTACGCTTATTAATTCACACTATTTCGCGGTGGGCGATAATCGATATTACCCTGTAGTTATTTTATTATTGCCGCCCCGTTTAATCTTCTTTTATTCTCTTAAACAATAAACTCCGTTGAGCGTTCGTCAATTAAACTCGTCGCCATCGCAATATGCATACTTTACCGTGCTATTTCCGGTTTGTCTCCGCTTGTTTGTTCGACACGAAGCGCATTTGTTCACTTTGCGATGAGAGAAACACAAGCGAATGATAAATTCTAAAAAACTTTACATCCGTACTGCCGGCGAAGGAGAAACCGGAAACTCGCGCGAATTATCGAGTGGCTCCCCCGCTGGACATAATTCAATGGAATGGCAGAATATCGCTGAGCGCAGCTTCTTTTATCATGCCGTTAGTCCTTTCACAGAACTGATGCTTCGCGCTTAAGGCAAAATCTGATCTGTTTATGTCTGATTGCTTAACAGTCACGACGCGACAACGAGTAATCGGATCGTGGAATCGAATTGTTAATGAGAATTTCCGTTGAATTTGATGTCATTTGATATATTTCCTCCTTAAATCTTATTTAAATTAAGGGTAAACTAATTAAAATTAGATAGATAATTTCCGGAGAGAAAATTAATTCTATTTGTAAGAAAAAAAATTCTAAATTTTATAATAGGTAGAGAAATATTAACTTCAAAAAAATTGAATAAGACTGAACTATAAATTTTAATATTTTAATATTAACGATAAGTATAAGTATTTTATTTGCATATAGAGCATTTGAGCAAGTAGGTCGAATGTATATTAAAGAGATATTAGAGAGAATGCGTCCCAAGATTTGCAATTTAAATTTTATAATGTTAACCGTATCGAAATTGCAATATATAATAAATTTTCATAATATTATCAATATTATTAATCGCAATACACAGTTAATTACATCGCGATCAGCCCGAGGCGGACGAGAGTCTTATTTGAATTCAATGCACGAGAAAGATCAACGTGTTCGCGCGAGTGCGCGGCAGGTTAATTACGCAACTGAGTTTTAATAATGGACCGATTAGTCACGGACTCGCTTACGCGACGCATTCTCAGCGCGTTGAACGTGAAGATCGCGTGGGTACTCACCGGCGGATTCGAAATCCTTGCAAATCTTCTCGCTAATCAAATCGATGGACGATGACGGAGATGAACATATTATACGCGTCGTATACTCGGTCTCGAGTTGACTGGCAATATCCCGGAGATTTTATCGAGAGTCACGGGGTCAATTTTAGGTCACTCGGTATCGTTTCAGGCTACGACGCTTTCGAGATAACGCGAAAACGTTCACGATAAACATTCATAGCGCGTTTGAAAACACGCAAATCTTTATATAATATAAATCATATAAAATTTAATTTTCTGCCGTCTTTCCACGGTTTTTTATCAGATTTAGTAATCGTTGGTGCCGAGGAGAAATTTCAACTTTTCTCAAAGCAATTCTTGTCCCAGATTGATCGGTCTTTACTTTACTCTCTTTATTTTTATTCGCTTTTTACTCTTCACAAACTCTTGACAAACATAAATATGATCGTGTTGGAGAACTTATATCAATAAAAGATAAATAAAACGAGACAACAAGTATATTTGCAAAAAGAAATTATATTTGTTTGTCACGTGACACTAGTCGCATTATCGGGCGCTTTTTAGGAAAGTTTGATCAAACTCCTAGCCAACATTGTCGTCAAGCTCGTATAACGGGTGTCATTCGAATATCGCGCCTTGACAACGATGACACATACAAGACGAGAGACACGCATGCGTTACATTATCGACAAACGCACTCGGCACGGTCAGTCGCGGCCGAGCCGCGCCGCGCGAGGAGCTCCGATTTGACGTTTCTCTCCTCGTTGGCTTGCCAACAACTTGCTCGCCTGTGAAGCGTCACATTGTTGCAATTTTCTCCGATCGTTGTGACTTTCAACTTGGTAAAATGGGAAAGTCGACGTGAAATTTCCTCGTCATCGGCCGCCGTCTGTCCGTCATCTCGTAGCCGCGTCATCGGAGCGGTTCTCCAAACGCGCATCGGTCCCTCGAAAGGCACCATCGGCCGCTCGTCGCGTACGCCGCTCCTGGTTTGACGGGGCCAAGGACGCTCCGTTAAACACAGCGACGCAGGTGGAAGACGGCACAGACGGCTGTCAAATCGCGAGAGGAACGGGACGGTCCAGGAAGGAAGGCTTAGACGAGGCCACGTAGTTTAGCCATGGCAAGCCTCGCGAGCAGCTCGTCGTCTGCGGGCCTAACAAGGGCCCCGACGATGCTGGAGCAGCTACTCGAGGAGATCAATTTCCAGAGAACAAAGGAGCTTAGGCAGATGCTCAAGGATGGTGTGTATGCGACCGAAGCGGTGCGGCCGGCATTGTTTGTCTCGTTTAGGGGGTGAATAGTATGTGTGTGAACGCGTCGTTGAAATAGGGGTGAGAATGTGCGCAGGGTGATTCGAGGTGTCCGAACGAACGAATTATATAGAGAATATTTCGCTTTCGATGGAGTTAAATGACTGCCGAAAAATAGGACCATCTTGCTTGAATTTGAAGAATGTGTTTTGAGGAAATTGAATTATTTCGGTTTTTCTTTTTTTTTTTTTACTGTGTTTTATTATTTTATAAGATTTTATGAGAATTTTTGGTATATTAAAAAAAATTTTTAATACTGTTTCTGTTTTGTTACTGTTTTATTTATACAATTAGCTTTTATAGATCTTAACAGTTTCGCGGATACAAGAAGATGGATTCAAATATTCAGATGGCTTTAAATGTTTTATTACAATCATTTATATAAATATCCTTGGCCTTCAAAATTCATCGTACAATGCATATAAAGAGATGTAATATCCGCTTTCAACAATATACGGCAAATAGAAAAAACTTTTCTAATATTGAGAATTCAATGTTATACAATTTCGATTCTGCAGTTCTCTGAATGCTTCAATGACGAAACCGCCAATCAGTCAGTTCGCTTGTTCTCATTATTGATAGATATTAATAATTATTTTAATTAAATATTTTATTAGAAGAAATATTTGCAATATGTATGCATTATAATGAAATTTATAATTATAAAACATCACACATATCAAAAACAATGTCATTTGTTTATTTTTATTTTGTTATATGAATATAATAAATAATAATACGTTAATAAATCTTTATTTACTCTCTTCGTCATTTTGTGTTTTGCATTATTTTGCTATTTAATATATTTTTGTGCAGCACACTTATTATTTATCTTCATTAATTATAAAACATTATATACATTATTATATTATAATTTCATTTATAATTCTTTTAAATCTTGGAGCGTATTTGTATAAGTAAATAAAGTCATCGCGATTTAAACACATGTATACTTAACTATTATTTGTCAAAAAATTAATTAACAATTTTTATATATAAACATATTTGTATATGAATATTAAAGTTTTTTAAAAAAAAATATTAAAGAGATGCTATTAAAAATATATCTTAGTAAGACCTCTTCTCCATCAGTAACCGCCGTCATATAAGTATCGATTACTTGATATTTCCCGCCTCATTATATTGTGTCTCCCTCTTTCCGATTCACCCTTTCGCACGTAATGTCGAATCGATTGAGGGTGAATTTGATATTAGCCGACGTTCTTGAAAAATTAACCGCATCTCGTATGGCAAGTTTTGGCATTTAATCCGCGTCTCTAGACATGTAATTTTTTTTGTTTTTGCCAGATTCCGGATTTGTTGTATTACAAGGCACAACTTACTGGACGGATCTGTTCGTCCGGCACTTCCTGTTTCAAGCGGAGCATGCTATCGACGGCGACGATTTGCTTTTCTTTGTTCGAAAAAAACATGTGAAGACTTCGTCGAGGTATCTGCCCAAATTCGAGACTGAGGTCGATGTATTTCGTAAAGACAGCAAAAAACTGCCGATCGGCGATCCCGACATCGATTGGGAAGAAACCGTGTACCTGAATCTCGTCGTACATCAGTTCGACTATACGCTCACCTTGGCGATTTGTACGAGAACGAGCCCCAAGGAATTGCAAGTGAGAATCGGCGATTGATGACCGCAAAAATATACAAAATAGTTCAAATCGATTATACTTTCTTTCAATTTTTCAATCAATTTTCTCTTTTCAAGAATTTGATATAATGCCATGTATATTTTATAATCTTTTAAATTTTTCTAAACATTTATTTCATATATTTATTATACTACTTATTCATATATTTTTTATACTACGTAACCGACAACTAGGATCCTGTATTAACGTAACGCGATTCTTTTCAGGTACTGCGAAGACATTCTCAGAAAGTATATGCCAGTCCAAGTCGACGGCGTATGGACGCCAAAGGCGATCTGGAGGAAATGACATACCCACACATATGTTTCATGGTGGACAATTTTGACGAAGTTTTCTGTGATATTTTAGTCAGGGACGGGGAGATGGTATGCGTGGAGTTAGTCGCTTCCGACCGAGAGGGTGCCATCCAGGGTGTCATCTTTCTCGGTTCCATCAGATACGACGCTTTAAAAAAAGTTTATGACGCGAGGGTGAGTCGCTGATGACCCTATGATGATATCAAAAAATGCGTTATCGGATTTTACATAGTGGTTGTTTTTATTTTTAGTCGAGTCTGAGCACCAAAATGGCGCAGCGAATGACATTCGGCCTCTTCTCCGGCGCGGCCTCGCAAAGAATAGAATTCGTGCGAATGAAGGGACCACGTGGTACGAGAATTTTAGTGTACTCTTTTTTAATTTATATTATTCTTTTATTATTTATATTATTTCAACAAATAATCAACTTTTGTTTTCAAACAATCTATTCAACTCGCAAGTCATTAATTATTACTTTACTTGATTGTTTCTTTTTATTTTCAAAACATATGCGTTATCTTGTTTTTCTTCTCTTTTTATTCATAATTGGAATTTCTATATAGTAAGTCTTCTTATTAGATAAATCTAGAAACTAAAGATAAATAAGCCAATACGAATAAATAAACGTAAGTGTCAGTGCGAGGGTGTGTTTGCACCTTTATTATTTAGCATAGTGTAAGCGCGAAAGATGGAAAATAATATTTTTATATTAGTATAACAAGAATGACATGTAAATGTAATAGAAAATTGTAATAGAAAACACAATAAAAAGCATTTTAATTTATGTATAAATATCATGATCGTTTAGGCAAGGGGCATGCGGAGATGGCCGTTACGAAACCGAAGGGTTCCGGCGCGGAGACGCCGACGTCGGAGCCGGGTTACTGCGCGACTGATTTATGGGACGCCGACTGGGACGACGCCGAGGATCTCTTCATGTATCGCCATCAACGAAGACTTTCCGATCCCAGTGCGAATCTCAACAACTTTGTGCGCGGCGGCTGGAAAACGAAACCGGACATGGTGGCCACGAAGGCGAGATCGGAGAACGAGGGTCTCGATTCCATGGCGAACGGTCTCAGCGAGATTGAAGCCGGTGACGTTCGAGACGGTAATTATCCGAGGCGCGACATACACAAAGTCCAAAAAACAGATCTTCTCTTCCCCCGCTATACTTACTAGATTTTTAATTTTACACTCTTAGACTGCGGCATTCATATCCCGCATTTAGCAGTTCAATTTCAGATTTTTTTAAATGATGAACAATATGAGTTTTTTTTATTAAGTGAACTGATTGTAAATTTTAGACAACATGTATTTATAATATAATACAGCGGGATATGGACGCGGGATTTAGCATCTTTCTCTTCTCAATGTATTTCGTTCGTATTCACTTTCGATCTGTGCATGCGCCTGCATTGTATCTGTGTGATGCACAATTGTCTTGATGTTATCGGGCGTATATAGACGTCCCTCGACAATATCTTTCTTCTTAATGCTGGCAACTTTGTATAGACTTGAGCCTGATCGATTTAATCACTTTTCGAAGGTGTAAATCATAATTGCATTAGCGCGATAGAAAAAACAAACGCATGCATACGTTAAAAAGAGTTCACGTCCCACATTCACGTCCTCTTTATTTTCTCGTTTAAACTGTATGCACAATTCAGTGCGCCATATAATAACGAAATTTTTTTTGTTATTCGAATATACACAATATCAATTTATACTTAGATTACTTAGAACGGCGACGAATTTTTCTGAACGTCTCCTTAGATTAGTTGACGTTCGGAATTCACAATTTTTTTAAATATTAGTATAGCACGGTGTTATGTCAAACTAAACGACGTGAGAAATAGAAATACACCGAGAAAAGAATAGATTCTCTCTATTTTTACCAACACCTCTAACCATCACTACTTACCACCACCACCACTACCAGCACACACTAATCTCCGATTTGATCGATCGAAGTCGCGTGAGAAAGATGACAGAGAAAACTAACGAACGAAAGAGTTTCTTGTTGTCTCTAATAATTGACACGTGCCATGCCGGCTCTTTCCTTTGTAGCCGATGTACAGGATAGCAGCTGGGGCGGCCGGGACTCACCAGGAAAACGCAGGAGTCCCTGCGCCCCTCGTCGACGAAGATCGTCTCGTCTGCCGCCGACCCGGCAACAACAACAACAACATCCCGTCCACAACAAGCAACGACATCATAACGCTCGGGAACGATCCGGGAATGAGAACTCGCCGATACGCAAGGAGGCGATCTATCGCGAGACACACGGTGAGTGTGCTCGTTCGCGCTAAAAACGATCGGTCCCTCTTGTCTCTGCTCTGACCGATGCTCTCGCTTCTCTTGTATGACTAGTAGAAACTCTGTAGCTCCTTTCCAAAGTGCCATCGTGTTCCGTGTTCTTGAGATAAGCTTCGACAAAAATATTCCAGAAACATCAATCAAATATTTCAATTTATTTTATTTCTTTTTTGTGTTTGAGGTGTGAAACATAAAGCTAAAATATCTGCCTCTTATCTTGATACAATTTTCAAGTACACCGTAAAGTAAAGTTTTTGTGCCTAAACACGAGAGAGAAAAACGCGAGAAGAGACAGGGAGCACGATCGTTTGTGATCGCGACACGGGTACAATCGCCGTCTAAATGACGACGTGGTTCTCGCGGCAGGTTTCCACCACAATCACCAGCAGAACAATCATCAGCAAAACCACCAACACCAACACATAGAAGTGGGCAGCGAGATCTTACTGCCGGCCGGCCGGTGCCTGACGGACGACAACGTCCGGCAGAAGCTAGACTCTGGCGCGATATTGGTGCACGGCAAGGAGGAACTGCCGCTGGGCTACGACGTGGGGACGGAGGACAATAATCGGAAACGACGGCCGTACAGCGCCGGCCACCTGTTCAATCATCATAACGGCCTCGAGAACGACGACGAGGAGCATCGGCGGCTGAGCGACGACGAGCTCCTGCGGGTGAGACGGATCGACGGACGTCGTCGTCTGCGAAGCGCCGGTTCCGATCACGAGGACTACGCCAACGGGCACAACAACAGGAACAAGAACGACGAGATCAAGGACAAAAACGCAAACGCCCATCACCATCAGGACGCGACGAGCGCCAACAACGACGTCGCGTCCGCGCGTCGGCAGAGTGCCACCCTGCCCCGAAGACGACGTCGAAGGGCGCTCTCGGGCAGCTTCGCGGGTAACCCCCTGCCTCCGCATCGCGTCACACCCGACGGCACCGCGATCTACTACTGGTGCGAGCTCCCGCGCCGCCCCGGCTCACAGGGTAAATTCCTTCCTATCTCCTACCCCTCAAACCCTATCTAAAAAAAAAAAAATAGCCCTCTGTTCTCCGTTCCCGACAAAAGCAATCCAAAGATTATCATCTTCATTATACTAATCCGTTATTTGTATAAACGTGTCCAAAGCATGACTGCGATTAATGACTGTGTTTATGGGATGGTGAAATGACAATGGCTGTGAGTTGCGCATGAGGGTGCGATGGAGAGTGGTAGTGGTGGTGGTTTTTCGAAGAGAAAGGATAACGACCGGAGATACTTGTTTAGAGAAAGTAACTTTCGGTCAATTGTTCGTAATTCGATTCTCGATCACGGATATTTCACCACCGTTAATAAGCATAGTCATCGAAAGTAGGTAGATAATTAATCTAGTTCGCTTTATATGAACACATGTGTCAATTCTACCTTTTAATAATACAACGAGAGAATTTCATGGAATATAGTAAACATTACTGATTCTTCTTGTAAAGTAAATATAAAACAACTGTGTATATATGGATTTTTCTTGTACTCTCAGCATATCTGCGAATCTATTTCTATGTGTAACTTGCATAATGCGATACTTTGCATATTGTGCGTGAATGAAGTTTATCATTATTCTTTGGAGTATAAAAGCGAAAATTAAAAGATTTCCTTGTACTTGTCACTCTGTTTGCACTTGCACACGCATCTTTATACACAAACACACACACATACACACACACACACGATTTGTGTATCATACCGCATTTGAATTTGTTCATTCATTCCACTATGGCTCGTAACATCTTCATGAAAATGTGACATTTAATACCACCTTATGCTTGTACCTTACTCTGTGTTTCATCGCTCGATTGAATGTCCGTCCCGTGCAAACGATTTCATCGTCCTGTCAATTGAACGATCATTACAGGATATCAAAAATGTAGCGTTCGATACGGTATAGTGATTAATAATGCTCTTTTTCTTTCAGAGTTGGATGACGGGGCGTATAATCCGCTCTGGACGATGCGAGGGTTTACCCAAACCTTTCATTTCTGGAAAGAGACGAAAAGAGCGCAGTCCGTACCTCTGAATGCTTTTTTGACATACATTACATTACCATGGTGGAGCATAGCCAAAGGTAACAACAAATTATAACTAGCACATCTTTGCTATTTCACATGTAGAATGTCCGAAAATTTAATTGCAGAATTGTGTCACTATATGTTTAATATATTTTTTCAGTGTATTTTCACTCATAAATATTTATTATAAAATACTATAAAAAATATTATAAAATTGGCACGATTTGGCCGTTAAATTTTCGGAGACACTCCTAATACATGCGAATATATTATGATACTTGAGTTGTCCGATTCAATCGCAATAATTTCTATTGTAGATATTTTGGATCACCGGGAAGGACCTATCTTAACGTTCTAGCCAACAATATAACATATATTTTCCGTCTAATTTCAATACTTTCCTTTTTTTACTTTGTACGTATGTCGTCGTAAGATTGTGGCCCAAGGAATATATGATGTATAGTTTAAGTAATAAATGAGAAATATATTATTTACACACAAATGTGCAAAGATCACACTACGTATGTTTTCATGATTTTTTATGTCGATATAAAAAAAAAAAGTAAAATCGAGCTACGGGTTTTTTTTCAGATATAAAAAGTGGAATTTTAGACTTCCTTCTTTGCAATCTTTGAGGATCAAGGTTGATGATCAAAATTGACAATTTAAACGCGAGTTTTAAGCTTATTAGACGCGTTTCATCACTGTATATAAGTAATAAATCAAGTATTATCTTGTTCGCGAAATATAATCGTGACGTGAAATATTCGCAATATTTCGTACAGCGATTTCCTTCCTCGTCTTAGTTGAACATTTTGCGGCCAAGTTAAAAACCGCACATTCTCCAGCCGCTATAAATAAAGGAGGAAAAAAGTTCATACACTCATATTATATCTAACGACGTGTCGTGTCAGTACGAGCGATTTTGGTTTATCGTGCTCCGTGTATCAAAAGCAAATCATGAAATCTCTCATGATAATTTGTGCTTTAACAATTACTTGGATTCACATCACTGAGGCTATGTGGTATAAAAACGATGATCTACGTACTCACGACGGAGAAGTGATAGGTATTAATCGGGAGCTTCTTTCACAGATAAACAAATTAAAATTTATTTTTATACAAATTTCTGATGTACATCTGTTTTTATCAACGTTATTTTTTATTCGTTGCATTCTCTCGAAAAAAAAAACTGAACTTTAAATGTTAAAATAGAGTGAGTACAAGACACACATATGTTGCGTAATTTATACGATCAATATTGCATCTGCATGAAATCCGATGTGGAGAGTCTTCTCTGCTTGACTTATGCAGATTATTTTTTTACATAGCATATATAGAGATATGCTATTTACTCGGAAAATCCGATAACGAAATAAATTCTATTTATTTTTTTCTATTGTAAATAGCATCGATCATCACTTTCTTATCGATCGATTTTATTTCTTTAAAGCTCGGTTGCACCAATGTTATTTAGACCTTAAGCAAGACTTAAAACTTTTGGCTTTTGGCAATAATCAATGTTATTTGACTTTTGGCTTCGGGCCTAAATACTTCGCGTTAGAGACGCGTACACTATGTTCTTTCACATATAATATTTCGTCGCCGATTCTGTTTAAAACAATTCTGTTTAAAACAAATAAGATTTTTCTGTACATCGGCAACGAACACATGGAAAAAAAAAATTTTAATTGCTATTTGCCATGAAAAAAGGAATAGTTACTAATGGAAAAAGTCAATACGCAAAATTTATTCGTTATTAGTGAAGCTATTATGAATGTCATTAGTGGATTGATAATCATTGACCCCTCCTGTCTATTTCAATATAACCCAACATACTTTAAAAATTTATTAAACAGATAAGAGAGCGACTTTACTTTACTTACAATTATCTCTCAAGTGATTAATAGTTTAATTTAGGAACAAATCCTGCAAAAATTTGTTAATAGGATGCGCAGGAAGACGCATGCAACTGAATTACCAGATGAAAGAGGTGATATGTGTACCGAGACGTACCTTGGTGAAATTAATACCACAACCAGGCTACATCTTTTATCCAAATTACGCTCCCGTAAAAAGATGCAGCGGGTTTTGTCCCCACAATAAATTATGCATGCCGGTTCAAACAGATGTCAAAAGGATCGTCGTAAGAATGGATGGCTATAACTCGAGCGAATGTTATCACGTATTAGTCGAAGAGCACGTCAAGTGCAAGTAAGTTCGCCTTTTATGTCGCCTATATTTTCTTTGTTTGAATACGACAAACATTCCATATAATTCCGACCATAACTATCCGACCATTTCATTCTATGATAAATTCGGCCAAAGAGGCTAAAGAAACAGAGGCGTCTTTGAACAAGGAAGATTGTCGCGTAAAACGCAAATCGCGTTACCAGAATTAATATAGCATTTTTTGTACGTCCGTTGTTAACAAATATAATATATTTCAGATGTCAATGCAGCGTAAAGCAGAGTCATTGCAACACTCACCAGGTATATTCGGAGAATAATTGCGCGTGCGAATGTAAGAACAGAAGGAAGTGCAACGAAGAACGCCAAATGGTTTGGAACGAAAACTTGTGCAAATGCATTTGCAACAAAGAAGAAATCTGCTCGAGCGGACTCGAATGGGTCCCTTCTCTTTGCAGGTAAACAAGAAACGTAAATTTGAAGTGGAGAATCGCAACCCGATTTCTTTTTCTATTTCTCTCTTTATTTTATCTTTTCCTTGAATAGTAATTATCTATATCATACTTAAGGAACGAGATATTTACTATTGAAAAATTTATAATAATGTAAATAATTTTTTAATTGATATTAAAATAACATACATTTAAACTTTGGCATTTTAGGTGCGCCAAGATTATGGATTTAGTACCGTACATCGATATCAGGAAATGATGCAAAAACGATAATCCACAGAGGAATTAAAATCTATCTCATTTTAAAATATTATAATTATTCAATGGTGACTTAAAAAACGAATAATAATAGTAAATAAATCTTCTTACATGAGACATTTTATACTTTAATTTATTCGTCTATAAAGTCATACGTGAATTTTTTTGCTAAATGCATTAGAATCGTGCGCTGGTGTAAAATAACATTAAAAAATTGAGCAATAACATAAAATTAAAAATTCATGCAATTGTTATAAATAAAATAACGCTTCTAATTTAATATTAAGGAGTTATTCTATAATCTGAGACTATAATCTAAGATATACATTTCTTTATTATTGATATATATATATATATATATAAAAGGTAAAAAAAGATTATATCTTTATAATTTTATAGATTTCTTTGTAACATAATAATATTTCTTGAATAAAAAAAGATCTAAATTATAACGTAGGCAATATTTTCAAGTATATATATAATCCTTGTAAGGATTATATTATTCATCACTTAGCGGGGAAAAAACATAAAATTAATTTATCATTACTATAATCAATCAAGCTGGAGCACTCATCATAACGTTATTAATATAATCTCCGAAATTATTCCAAGTATGATCCCACAGATTCGGATCGGCTTTACTATCCCATGGAAGATTTCCAGGCAAAATCGCGGTGTTATTGATCTTCTTCAGCTCTTCCTGTAGCTTTCTGACGATCGTGGGGAATCTTTGACGACACGCAAAACAAGATATAATTAGATGCGAGCATATTTTTGCAGATTAAAATAGAATAAAATTTTAGAATTAACATAGAATTTTGACGGAGTAATATTTCACTCACTGTTTGACAAGATTATTATCCTCGCAAGGATCCTGGTAGACGTTGAAGAGACACGGCTCTTCTAACGGTTTGCAGATCGGTAGACTGTCATTTTTTGGCGGGCACTTAATCATCGCGTTTTCGCGCAGGAACCAGATAATTTCCGTGGTAACACTCAACCCCACACTGGTGACAGCGCGTCCCGCCGTGCTGCTAATCACACCATCTGCATCGTAAATCCATTCCCTGCCGGATGGGCCGTACCATCCATCCCATGCTCCCTTATAAGTGGATCCTATGAGAAATCAAACTGAGTCGAATTTACGGTATTTATTACTTTCTATAATAAATTTAAGGGAGAAGAAAAAAATAATTTAAAAAAATGTTTTTTTATGGTATTTTAAAGTTAGAAGTATAGAATTCTTTATTCTTGAAATTCACTTACCCTGAATGAGTTTCCAGTCACCAACCGTAATAGCAGACACACCATAAATATCGTCGATGTTGTGAAGAATATTTGCTCGCGGCGACTCGGTATCCTCGCTAAGCGCATTCCACAAATTCATACCGTCGATCGAAGTTAAATTCAATGCATTGCCACCAGCAGCTGTTATGAGTGTCGGCAGCCAATCAGTAATATGGATCATCTGTCTGCTCACTCGGCCAGGGCGCACTAATCTGGGTGACCATATTAATCCTGTACCCCTGACGCCACCTGATTTGATCGTAAGTTACAAAAAAATTTATTTATTTATAAATGTTGCATTAAAAATTTGTTAAACTTTTTTTCGATTATGTCCCTTCTCTCACAATATGCTGATTTAATTAATAAGCTAATAAAGTGCTAATCCGCCAAAAAGTACCATGTTATAAAACAAGATGTTTTTATTATAATTTTTGAGTTTCATAAATAGTTATTAATAGTTCACGTTCTGAAAATTGCGAGCACTAATAAAATTATATAATTATAATAAATAGGATGTAATTAAGAAAATTTTTGTAGCAATCGTAATTTGTTAAAAACCAATAGCAAAGATATTTTCTTACTAACATAAGCTAATAAATACTTTTGCTCGTCAATCAAGAAATCTTAATCGCGTTAAAAAATGTTTATTATTATCTGACATATAGCTATACATAATAGTATCGTACTCGAATAAGATTACCTTCCCAAAGAGTATTTTTGACGCCTCTCAGCGGCCAATTAGATGCTGCGTTTAAATTAAATCCAGCGGCAGGCCCACCGTTGTCCGACGAAAAGACGATTATACTATCTCGTAACATGCCGTTTTTATGTAGAGCCTCAACCACTTGGCCTACCGATTGGTCCAGTTTACTCAGCATAGCTATAATTTCAAAGTTATTAGACCGACTATCTTCTCATTAATAATTTGTAATTTTCCGAGTTATTTCTTAAGAATCGATATCTCAATTAATTCTCTTAATTCAGTCAATAATAATTATATGTTCTAATTTTAATTTTGTTTAACCGCTCACACACACTTGTCAAATTTTACCTGCGAAACGTCTTCGATTATAATCGAAGATATTTTTGAATTTAGCGACTTCTTCGTCCGGCGCTGGAAGCGGATTATACGGGTTTCCGGAATGCACGGCCGCATGAGCAAGATACAAAAACATCGGCCGGCTAGAATTGTGATTGTCAATCAGTCTCACTGCTTCCTTCGTAAAAATATCCGTGGAATATTCACCGTGAAGATCCCATGCCGGTTCCATACCCCGCCTTATGTCCAAACCCCAATAAGGCTGCACAAAATTTTCAGATCATATTTTCATTGTCTATAACAAATATAACACAATTTTTTATTCATGTAGCAGTTATAAAATAATTTTTTGTATAACGCTTTTAATATAATATAACATTTTCGTGAAAAAAAAAATTAATTGCAAAATAGGACATATTAATTTAAATGTTTCAAATTTAAACAATCTTGTTTCTTCCAAAATTAAAAAAGCAAATATTTTCACATTTTTTCTATATTTTTTGTATTTAATTCATTTAATATTTTTCTATTTAATGTTCTCATATTACACACACAATAAACGAACATTTCATGTTGAATGAATAAACGTCAAAATGATCGAATCATTTTAACGTTAATTTTATGTCATTTTTATCGCATTGAATTAAGTCATATCTATTTGTATGCTCGCTCACATTTTCAACAGCTGTGTGATCGTAATAATCGTGATGGCCTGTCCAATATCCGGTGTGGGTGTCGAATCCCCTGTAAGTCGGAGTGTACTCCTTTTTGTAAAATCCTAAGTGCCATTTGCCGACAATATGTGTGCTGTAGCCGAGCTCTCGCAAATATTCCGGCAGAATCTTCTCGTGAAGTGGCAATCCCCTAGGCTCCGCGCCTTTAAGAACCTGAATTATTCATGGAATCCGAATGTCGTTGGCTTTAGTAAAAGTCTACTATTTTTCGAAAAATTAGCACTTTATTACTATCTTAATTAAATTGTTACTATAAAGTACATTTAATCTCACGTTTTAAAATTCTACAAAATTTTTAAACTGTCAAAAAGGATATCCCTGATTTATCTTAATACGAGTCAAAAAACTGCGAAAAAAACATTATTCATTTAATGCTATTAATTGTGTAATAGTAGAAGAGATACGTTAAAATTTTTCATGATGCGATCATTCATGCGATCTTTTGTTTGCTTTGTATACGTTTTCGCATACATAGTGTATGCGAATAAATTGACACAATGTCCCTCTCTCTTTCTCTGTATCACTAGATATGATAATTTCCAATTGAACTATCCAGGTCAACGCGGCAGAAGTGCAAGGGAGCATAATATCCCTTTTGTACACCGCTGCAAGCAGAACAACAATAACATTTCCGCCAACTGATAGCTCTCAATTGCATTTATTCATTGACAGGTGTAAGAGCAGCTCGAAGAAACTAATAAATCAGTCAATTGTGACAATTTTGATAAGTAATATTTAAAGGAAATACAAATTTTTTAAACAATTGAACTTGGTCACATAACGCGTTAAATAATTTTATTTCAGAAATGCCTGTTTTTTTTTTATGCAACGAGGACATTCGTCCACGTTTTTCTTCGTTTTTTATTACATTCTCTTAGTAAAAAAAAAACACTTAATAAAGTAAGATGCGCCAGCACTTACGCCATGCTGCATTCCGGTGTGAATGGGATATTTGCCGGTCATAAGAGCACTTCTGGACGGTGTGCAGATTGGTGTGACATAATATCTATCGAGCAGTAACCCGGAATATGCCAGAGCATCGATATTCGGCGTTGGAATTTGACCGGAACCATGAAAGCCGACATCATTCCACCCCTAATAAGAATAAGAATAAATCCAAATGCAATCTTTTTTCTATCTTTCCCCTCTCTTTCTCTCTCTCTCTCTCTCTCTCTCTCATTCTTTTGACAGAATCTTAAAATAATTCGTTTCAATTTTGATTTAACGTTTGACCTAACATTCTTCACTTATATCTTATCTTTTCTAACGTGATAAATTTATGATAATTCATCAAAATTTTTTTCACAGGGTATTATTTTTTTATAATTTATACTTTTGATGCATAAATTGATTGAGATTGATAAAAATTTCGAAGAGCACTTTATATTTACGAAATACAGATAAATGTGTATCTGGAGATTTTGTATATAAAAAAATTCCTCTTGACAAGTTTTTATACTTTAACAGAAGTACAAAATATTACAGAATAAAATATTTCATCTGTTTAATATAAACTCACAGTATACAATTAAATAGATACATACTTGATTATTTGACTTTATTAATGTCGAACGTGTTTTTACCAGATTTTTTTCTTCAGCCTTTATCTAAACTACTATTTTTTATCTCTATTGTAAAATAGCAACCCATAAAAAAGATGCACTAAACAAAAGTTGTCTTATCGCAAAGCATTCGTATCTTATCTTTACTTATTGTTAGCATTTTTACTCGATAATTTTTTCTTCAAACTTTTTCGACCGAATAGAATTTATCTTCAAACTTCGAGAAAGACAACTTGCCAAATCGTCCGCCAGGATAAAAATGATATGCGGCTGTCTCGTCGAAGACGCGCGAGTCGCAATGAGTAGTAGGATCATGGACGATGTCCATTGCCCGATCCCCGATGGATGACCCATCGTGTATCGTGTCCCTCGCTCTTCTTGGACGAGCGCGTCCCCTGAAACCGGTTTCCGGTTCCCTCCACGAGAGAATGCGGAACAGACTCTATTTAGATGCGTACACGACGGTTAGTTGCATGAAACTGATCTCTCTCTTCCGAGACGTCTTTCTCCGAGATGATGCGGAATCTGCGGAATGAGAGGGACGCTCCTCCCACCTCGAGTCAATCATCTTCGTTCATCTCGCGTTTGTCACGACGAGCGACGGTCTCCTCCGTGATTAATATATATTGCACGATGTTATAATTTATTCCGGCAAGATATTATCTCGCTTCCGCGTGTCCGTAATTCAGGGAGCGTAACATTCAGATCTATGTAATTATATTCCCACTGAAATGTCATGCTATATTATCTTCTTTTATCAGAAACAGACGAAAAAGCAAAAGTACGACAATATGCGCAAATCCCATTTGTCATCACACTATCACGTAATTACTGTGAAAATAATGGAACAACTACATTAGTGCAAACAAGGAGAAATAATTATCATGTAAAAATATGTTGGAAATATTTATTTCTTAACTAATCAAAAACTTTTTAGTAATGCAAGAAATTACTTAATTATTTTAGAAAAAAGAAATATAT